GTTTTCATTGTTTCGAAGTTTTTCCATCTGTACCGCAACTTATATTTCATTTTTAATTTTCACATAAATTTGATATAAATAACTTATATAGATGCGGGGAGGGTAATTGTCAAAGAGATTTATTATAATCTTAAATCCTTTAGAAAATATTTAAATAAACATAATATTGTGGCGGCCAGCGCCTAAAACATATACAATTAAGCACGGCTGAGACTACCCCCAGCTCGGCACGGCAGTCAAGCACGGCCGAGAACACCCCGGGGCGAGCAAGCACGGCCGAGACATGCAAAACGGTTTCTCCCCACTCCAACAGACTGCCTTTATAAGGCGAGCCAGCAGCAGAATAAATCAGATGCACCTGTTTCCTTATAGCGGTCATCTCACTAATACTGTGTTGTCTCATAGCCAGTATTCAATTTTTGGCAGTGTTCATAATAGCCTGCCTCACCAACCGCCGTTCACCGAGCCCGGTAAACACAATCAGGTTACCCCAGCCGGCGTTCACCGAGCCCGGCATTCCTACCAGCAGCCACCGCGGACAGTACGTCGCGCCCATGCCCCTACGACGCCCAGGAAGGTGAAACGCCAGCGACGAAACGAGATCCGCCGTTTCTTCCAGAGGAGCCCATTTCCGACACCCGTTTCGCCGCTACCGCCTAGCCCGACGAAACCACAACGCGCCTGGAAGCTACAGCCCATCGAGCAGCCCGTTTCCTACGGCAACATCGATCCCGGAACCGTAGCGCCTAACGATCCCCGCCGGTTCATCGTACGCGACCGTCATCGGAAGCAACTGATCCAGCACCTGTTCGGGGACGACTGAAAATTGCACATACTGTAATATAAATATAATGTTAGGTAAATTTATATAGGACACGATAATAAACATGCACGCATACAACCAAACTGGTGACCCCGACGTGATCAAGAATCCAAGATGCCCGACCAGGAGCCAGGCGCTGCACAACCAAACATGAACGAAGAGGCATACCGACCGGTAGTCCACAGAGTTCAAATGAAGCTACCTCCATTCTGGCCCGTAGACCCGGAATTATGGTTCGCACAGGTCGAGAACCAATTCAGAATCTGCGGCATCACGAAGGACGAAACAAAATACGGATACGTCGCCAGCAGCCTGGAAGCGAAATATGCATGTGAGGTGAGAGATATCTTAACAAACCCGCCGCAGGAAGACAAATTCGGTAAGCTAAAAACCGAACTCACGAAACGACTGAGCGCAACGCACGAACAGAAGATGAGGCAACTCCTAGAGCAAGAGGAACTCGGGGACAGGAAACCTTCCCAATTCCTGAGGCACCTGCAAACTCTGGCCGGGACATCAGTACCAAACGACCTGCTGAAGTCAATATGGGCAAGCAGACTACCAGCCAATATTCGTACAATCTTGGCAGTCCAACCGCAAGCCACACTGACGGAAGCAGCGGAACTAGCAGACGCAGTCCATGCAACAGCAACCCCGCAACTCCACGCGGTACAACAGAACAACACGGTGCAAGAAGCTATCACAAAGCTCACCGCAGAAATCGCAGAGCTGAAACTACAGTCGAGAGGACGCACCCGCGACAGACGAGGCGATAACGCAAGACGTCCCAGCCGAGGCCGATCACCGCAAAAACAGTATGACACTTGTTGGTACCACTACCGGTTCGGGAACGACGCAAAGAACTGCAAACCACCATGCAAAAAGAGTTCGGGAAACGAACAGGCCAGTCGTTGAAGGCGGTCTACGACTCGCACAACACACCACGCCGCCTACACGTTACAGACAGACTAACAAACATAGAGTTCCTAATCGACACTGGAGCCGAAGTTTGCACTTTCCCAGCCCGCAAAGTTAACAGCAAAAGACCGGCATCCTCATACAAGCTCTATGCAGCAAATGGAACAGCCATCAACACATATGGCACCATCAACATGAACCTGGACCTACGACTTCCCAGAAGTTTTCCATGGAGGTTCATCATCTCAGACATCGAGAAACCCATTATCGGCGCAGATTTTCTTTCGCATTACGGACTACTGGTGGACGTGAAACACCAGCGACTAGTAGACTCGCAGACCTCACTAACACACCAAGGACGGAAGGCCACAAATCATGTAAATATTGTATATAGCACCTGTAAGGCGGAAAAATACCACGCACTGCTGAAAGAATTCCCAGCACTGACAAAACCCGCAGGAATCATGGGAATCCCGAAACACGCAACGAAGCACCACATTCAGACAACGGACGGTCCGCCGGTAGCTCACAAGCCGAGAAGGTTAGCACCAGACAAGCTGGAGGCGGCACGGAAGGAATTCCAATTGATGCTCCAGTTGGGAATAGCCCGACCTTCGGCCAGCCCATGGGCATCGCCATTACACCTGGTACCTAAGAAAACCAGCGAGTGGAGACCATGCGGTGACTACCGGGCACTTAACGCCAGAACCGTACCAGACCGGTATCCCATCCCCCACATAGAAGATTTCGCCCAAGAACTCGCCGGGAAAACAATATTCTCCACTATAGATCTCACGAAGGCGTACCATCAAATACCCGTAGCCGAGGAAGACATACCAAAAACAGCGATAACAACCCCGTTTGGACTCTTCGAATTTCCTTTTATGACGTTCGGACTTCGCAACGCAGCACAAACATTCCAACGTTTCATGGACGACATTCTACGCGACCTGAAATATTGCTACACATACATTGACGACATCCTCGTGGCGTCCGAAAGCGAGGAGCAACACGTGGAACATTTGCAACAGGTTTTTCAGAGGTTAAGCGAAAACGGGTTGGTGATCAATCCAGACAAATGCAAGTTCGGCAAAAACGAGATACAGTTCCTAGGGTACACAGTGACGAGCCAAGGAACACAACCACAGGAGAGTAAGGTGCAAGCCATCCGAGAATACCCACGCCCCGACACAGCCAAGAAACTAAGGCAAGTCTTAGGTATGATAAATTATTACCGCAGATTCGTCAACAAGGCAGCGGAAACACAAGCACCCCTCCACGATCTGCTCAAGGGAAGGTTGAAAGGAAACCAGCCGTTACACTGGACACCGGCAGCCAGCGAAGCCTTCGAGCAATGCAAGCAACAGATAGCACAAGCCACCCTGATTCACCATCCAGTAGCGAACGCGCCATTAGCGATCACGACGGACGCATCAGATTTCGCGCTAGGAGGTGTAATCCAGCAGTACGTTAACGGAGACTGGCATCCGCTCGCATTTTTTTCAAAGAAACTTAGAGCGGCAGAAAGCAAATACGGCGCCTATGATAGGGAACTCCTGGCCATCTACAAAACGATAAAGCATCACCGCCACATCCTCGAAGGACGCACATTCGCCATCTATACGGATCACAAGCCAATTACCTATGCATTCAGCCAGAGGCCCGAAAAATGCACACCCAGGCAATTCCGATATTTGGACTTCATAGGTCAGTACTCAACGGATATCCGACACATCGCCGGTAAAGAAAATGTCGTCGCCGATACCTTGTCAAGAATCGACCAAATAAACGGCGGAATCAATTTCGAAGCTCTAGCCGACGCCCAGGAAAACGACCCAGAGCTACGAAGATTACAACAAAGCAATACAAGCCTACAGCTGAAAAACGTACCCACCCAGGGAAACAAGACGGTATGCTGCGACGTATCACAAGAAAACGCACGACCATACCTCACGCCCCAGTTTCGAAAGATAGCATTTGACAGCCTGCATCAACTATCCCACCCAGGATCGCGAGCCACAGTCAAACTCATTGCTAGTAAGTTTGTATGGCCCGTGATGCGAAAGGACTGCAACCGATGGGCCAGGCAGTGTCAACAATGCCAACGCTCAAAAATCATGAGGCACAACAAAACGCCCGTGACAACCTTCGCACCTGCAAATAGTCGGTTCGAACACATCCACATGGACATCGTAGGACCCCTCCCCGAAAGCGAAGGACAAAAGTATATTCTGACGTGTATCGACCGTTACACACGTTGGGTGGAAGCGACGCCATTAGCAAACATCGACGCCGAAACAATCGCCAGGCAGTTCGTCAACACTTGGGTTGCGAGGTTCGGGGTCCCATTACGAGTCACGACCGACCAGGGACGCCAGTTTGAAGCACACTTGTTCCGGAGCTTGGAGACGCTGATCGGGTTCCAACGGATAAGAACCACGGCTTACCACCCCCAGGCCAATGGGATGGTCGAGCGTTTCCACCGCCAACTCAAGGCATCCCTCCGTTGCCACGACCGTGCCTGGACACAAGCACTCCCCCTCGTGCTCCTCGGAATAAGAAATGCGTGGAAGGAGGATATTAAGGCCACAGCAACGGAAATGACATATGGCCAAGGCGTCCGCCTCCCAGGGGAATTCTTGTCCGACTCCACACGGGACACCCAAGTGGAAGCAGAAACCTACGTTACGCAGTTAAGGAAGCAAATGCAAAGCATGAAGCCAACCCCAGCGTCGAATCACAATACACAAAAAAGTACATTCCAACTCAAGGATATCGACACAGCAACGCATGTGTACATCCGAGTGGACGCAGCGAAACGACCACTACAGGCACCCTACGAAGGACCATATCCTGTAGTTACAAGAAACGACAAGACTACAACGATTCGACGGCACGGTACAGACATCACCGTTTCCAACGACAGAGTGAAACCAGCCTACCAAGAAAGGGACGAAGAGCAAGCAGACACCTCAAAGGTAGTACCACCATCGCCAGCTCCACTAGCAAAGCGACCCGTAGGACGACCACCGAAACTATCAATACCACCAGCAGAGGCGCAGACAGCGAAGCGACCTGTTGGGCGGCCACGCAAATATAGAGAAGAAAAACCACAGCAAAA